ACTTCAGTCATGGCAGTGGTTCACTGTGGGATTGCACATAAAGCATCGGGATTTAAAACGGAAAACTCATCGTTAATAAGAACCCTGAATACACAGAGTGTATCCAGGGAGGTCACTGCCATCTCCTCCTCCACTGTAGGCAACTCAGCAGCAGGCGAAGACCCCCTGCTCCTTTCCCCCCACTCCTTTTAAATGTGTGGGTCTGCATACATTTAAAAACCAGAAATCTTGTGTTCTGTTTTGGTTAATCACTCCAAAGTGGCAAAGCTGTGTTAGTGCAGCTACAATTATTTCATACAGTTACTTGGGATGTGGGTGCAAAACGTCTTTCATTTGACTTCAGCCATCCAACAGGAACTGCCCCCTTGCACCGCTACGGCTGCGTCTCTGGAAGGAGGAGCGAGGAGGAGACGGGGATGAGCACTCCGTGTAGTTTTGGCAGCAGAGCTGCGGGGCAGGGTAAAGGCTGCCCTGGTATCCACATTAATTCCATAGGAGAACAGCCACTCACCAGCTGAGGAGAGGGACCTGCACACTCGTCTCCTCCTAAGTGAGGTGCTCATGCACTCATCACCCATCTTTCGAGCTTTTAATTAGTTTGGCTTTGTATTTAAAGCACATCTTGGACGTTTCGAAGCCTGCCATGCAACATGTCTTGTCCATGATTGCTTTTCATGAGACTTGTGGGGCTGCGTTTTCTGGGCCGTGGTAGTACAATCTGGAGCTGTGAGAGAAAGCCCTCGGGGGCCGATCCGTGGCGGCGGGCCAGTTTCTGCATAAACTGGTCTTATTTTTAAAGTCCATTTTCTCCAGTACACTTTTTTTGGCCTGCAAAAGACTTCTTCATTTAAAATGAAGAACGTAACACTCTCTCCTTTCAGTTGGTTTTTTGGACACGGGCCAGCAGTGCCCACAACAGCTGTACCACAGTTTAAACATTCAGTCTCTAATGGTTTGGGGAACATTAGGGTTTTTAAGGCTTCAACAGGTCTAGAGTAAATAGTGGTCAATAAAGAGTGGCTCTTCTTTGTATCCCTGCACTCTCAGTGCTCTGCACTAGAATAAAGCATGCTTAGAATATAATCATTGCAAAATTAATATCCATGAAAGGTTCTTTTTTTGCGAAGAATCACAGAAAAACCTGTGAAGAGTTTGCAAGAGTTCAACTCGCAAGAGTCTGGTAACAGGCGTGGGGGAGTTTGCACGTAGTGTCTGTTAGAGACGTGCTCGTTCTGGGCTTGTGTCTCTCCCCATGTGTGTGTTTAATGGCTGCTACGTGAGAGGAACAAATAAATTACAGGTATTACTTTCTCTGTCATCTTGTCCCGCCCACCTATTAATGATGTACACGAGATAATGATGATTTTTTTTGTGTGTTCCTTATGGCTTTCCAGTATTGGGTGGAGTTGAAGGCTCGTGTGTGCTAATAGGTAATATTTAACACAGTGTTTTGGACCCAGATGAGGTAGAAACTACGTTAGCAGCGATGGGCGATAGTCGGGCGTTGCCCTTGTTAGTGATCAAACCCAGTGCCAAGGGCTGGCGCTGCCATCGTGATTGAAATGGATCGGTGTTGGTGGAGCCGTCAGACTCCACAGAGGGAACTGCTCGCTTCTTTCACGTTGTGTACATGTGGGTGAGAAAACACAGTCCACGTGGGGCTCCTTATCGTGACGGAAAGCACATGGGCATTGCAGCACTTCTGTAGTGTTGGGTCAGTGGCTACAGGTGCCTCGGCCCAGGAGGGGTTAAACGGCTCTGTTGGCTGCTGGCCACTTGGACTTCACTTACAGCACTTCATGCCACTGTGCAAGAATAGTTTGTAAGCCGTTTTACTCTCTGCAGGGAATTGATTAACCCTTTCTGATACCCTTTGGTGTGTTTCCTACAGGTGTGGGCTGTAGCTCTGTTCCTAGAGGGGGGATCGGGGCTGCGGGATGCCGACACGTCCTGTGCCTGCTGCAGCTCACCAAATGTGGGGAGTCAAGAGGGATGCTGGAATTGCAGAGGAGCAGACTTCATAGGAAAAACAGTGAAAGTGCCAGCCTTGCAAGGCATTCTCCTGAAAAAACAGGATTATAGAAAAGCCTGGCTACTGTAGTGCTTCTCATTAGTTGCTCTGCAGGGTTGGCTGGAGCACAGAGTTTGTTACAGTTGTCACCTTTTTGGCTGGAGCAAAGTGGCCGTTAAGAGATGTTTCAGTTGTAAATTGCTTTGCGTTTAAGCACCAGTGAAGTCTCCCTGAGCTACGTTTTCTTTTCAGTTCAGTTTTCAAAGTTAGCTAGTTTTGGGGGGAGGCAAGAAGTAGTATTAAAAGTTCAGAAGTTAACCAGCCTGGCCAAGCCTCCTGCATGGCAAGCTGGAGCTTTAAAATATGCTTGTTAATTTTATTTGGGGCCTTTTGCTAGGGGTTCAATCTTTACTTCCATGGAGAAGTTTCATAACAATTTCCAACCCATCGGTATCCTATTAAAACTTTGTTGTGTAATCTAAAAGCCTTTCTGCTTCTCATGGTTTCCTCTCATAGCTGGTTCAGAATGCCTTAGATGGTGATTTTGGAATAAATGGCTGCATGGTCTTGATTTTGTTTTGTTATAAATTCAAAACAAGATTTGAAATTAAGTCCTATTGTCAATTTTCCTTTAAATAATAGTTGCCTAATGACATAACTTAAGATTTTTTTATCTAATGTCACAATACTTTTGGGAAAGCCTGTGCCTATAGTTGTATTGTAGTTAAAATGTCAGTGAAATCTCCAACTCAGTACCATATGCATTCAATACTTCTAGTTATATATATATATATGTTGTGTTAGAGAGGGTAGATCCATGGAGCCAGTAGAAATACACGTGTGGGGGTCTTGCAGCGTTGGACTGATCTTGTTCTTGCTGTGTGAGCTCTCTGTTGCAATAAATTGTGCTTACAGGACTGACTGTAAGTGGGTATGATTTGAGGTCTCCTAGAGCCCTTAACAGAAGGAGCGAGGTTCACAGTGGACAAAAAATAAAGTGTTATTAGTAGAAGAAACAATACAGGGATACAAATGAAGAACAGTCTTTGAGTGAGTGGGAAAACATGCTGCTCAGGAAAGGAGGGGGTTCATTCAGTTTGGATTAGCTCTCCTAACACAGGATTAGACCAACTAACCTCTGCCTGTAGCACTCTTTTAAATCTTGCATGACTTCTGCAGGGATATATATCTTGACAGGCAGCTCATCTGTGCCTTGCCAAGAGGCCATCGCCAAGATGTTCTCCTTTGGCTGTGCTGGCTGTGCTGCTGGATGGGATCTATATAATAAGAGGCAGCCTCTGGCCTGAATTGCTCACAGGCAGCACGAAAGCGGCAGGAATCACTTTGGGGGAGAGGGGGCAAGAAGGTGAACTTGAGCAGCAATGGAGGAGTGGGGGATTGGTGATGAGCCGTCAAAAAGATGGCCTTTCTTTCTCAGTCGGGCTGAAATTCCTCCCTCCCTCCCTCCCTCCTTGGAAATGAATTTCGTTTGTTCGGATTTGAATCCGTGCGAGCCGTTTCCAGCTTGCTCCCGCGCTGTCCGCAGCGACACGCTGAATTTCAGCTTTTCACCGGGCGCACATCTGGCGTGTTGAGATAGCGGCAATTAAATCCAGGGGTGAGTTTATCCCTTAGATTCAGCGTCTGTCCACAACAATGGGAAAAATGCAAGTGAAGGCCTCATAAAACAGGACTTGTGCTGAGTCCGAACAGCTGGTAGAAGCATCACTCGTGCTGTCTGTTCAAGGGAGGCTCTCTGTGCCTGTGATTTTCCTCCCAGTGCTCCCTTTACTTGCTGTCATATTTGAGTCATCCTCTCTTCTGTTTGTCTTTCGGATTTTAGCGCTTTGCTAATCTTCGTGGCCTTTTTACAAGTGCTTTATTGACTGTGTTACCTGTGGCAAATCCTGCTGCCGAGAAGGTAGATTGGATCCTCTGTCAAATGAAACTGTCATGTCAGCTCCTCTGGCAGGTTGGTGACATTTGTGTTGTGACACAGAATCAGCCCGTGATCTTTTTAAATGTCTATTATTTGGGCTGATATATAACCTTGGCCTTGAGGCGTTTGTTTGGGGTTTTTTTCTCTTGGTTTTTTTGATGTTTTTGGTTTTTCCCCAGCTTATTTTCCATTTTATCATCCTGCTTTCCGCCTGCCTTTCAGTTATATCAGCTACTGCCTGGCCCACTGAAAACTGGAAAGCTGCTTTGCCTGCTTTTCTTAAGTTGTGGCTTTCCGGAAGGCTCTGAATCTAATCTTAGCTTGCCATCTTCTTGTTTTGAAATAGCAATTGCCACTTGAGGATGCTTTTTATTCTAGTGTACGTATGCACCCTGTGTCACCTGCCTTCTGGAACTGCTGCTGGGAGTCTCAGGTGCATTTTACTTTCTATTGGTATTTTAAAATGACTGGGGAACTGTAGCTTTGCATTGCAGCACTTGAGATAACGTATTTAGCATCTTGACTAAAACACTCGGCAAGCTGGATTTTTAATGCCTGAACAGTATTTGAGTGTAACAAAAAAGGTGTCGTCACACTTGCTTCCTATGTATATGGCATCCTTTTTTATTTATTGTTCTTTTCTATTATTGTTCTTAAAGCCCAGGGGAGGCAGAAGAATAGTGAGTTTTGTAGTGAACGCTTCATGGTTTTTTCTTCCTGGTGATGCTGTATTGTGAAAAAATGAGCTTACAATCTACTTACTGCTCAGTTGTTTGGCTGATGGTGATATCTCTAGAACGGGCTGTAGTAATCCCAAATCCATGGTAGATGTTTCTTTTACCAGTTTACAATGAATAATCCTCTTAATTTCCTTGAACAGCAGCTGGTATTGCTACAACCTGTGCCTAAACCCAAGAACGGCTTATTCAGAGAGCCTTCTGGCCCTGCGAGCAAGGAGGAATTTTCTCCCAGCGGGAGAAAAGTTAGCGTGGGCTAACTTTGAAAAGCACAGCACTGCTGAGACACTAACTTCTCCTTTCTCTCTTCTAGATGCAGCAGCTGTTTTATGAAAATTATGAGCAGAACAAAAAAGGCTACATCCGAGACCTGAGGAACAGCAAAATACACCGAGCTATAACGCTGCACCCCAATAAGAACCCCCCGTACCAGTACAGACTCCACAGCTACATGCTGAGCCGCAAGATAGCGGAGCTGCGCCACCGCACTGTGCAGCTGCACCGGGAAATTGTCCTGATGAGCAAGTACAGCAATACCGAAGTCCACAAAGATGACCTGCAGCTGGGGATGCCACCCTCCTTCATGCGATTCCAGCCCCGCCACCGGGAAGAAATCTTGGAGTGGGAGTTTCTTACAGGAAAGTATTTGTACTCGGGTGCCGACGGGCAGCCCCCTCGGAGAGGAATGGACTCTTCTCAGCGCGAAGCGTTGGATGACATTGTTATGCAGGTCATGGAGATGATCAATGCCAACGCTAAGACCCGGGGGAGGATCATCGATTTCAAGGAAATACAGTACGGCTATCGCAGAGTAAATCCGATGTATGGGGCAGAGTACGTTCTTGACTTGTTGCTTCTGTACAAAAAGCATAAGGGGAAGAAGATGACCGTCCCCGTCAGGAGGCACGCGTACTTGCAGCAGACCTTCAGCAAGATCCAGTTTATGGAGCACGAAGAGATGGATGCCAAAGAGCTGGCCAACAAAATCAACCAGGATTCTGGATCCTTGTCTTTCCTGTCCAACTCACTGAAGATGTTTGTTCCCTTCCAGCTCAGCCGATCAAAAGCAGAGAGCAAGGAACTCGGAGACAAGAAGATCAACATCCTGATTCCTCTCTCCGGACGTTTCGACATGTTTGCAAGGTTCATGGGGAATTTTGAAAAGATGTGCCTCATTCCAAACCAGAATGTCAAGCTGGTTGTCCTGCTTTTCAATTCCAACTCCAACCCTGACAAAGCGAAGCAGATCGATCTGATGAGAGATTACCACGCCAAATACCCCAAGGCTGACATGCAGGTTTTACCGGTGTCGGGGGAGTTCTCGAGGGCACTGGCTCTGGAAGTCGGATCTTCTCAGTTCCAAAACGAGTCTTTACTTTTCTTCTGTGATGTTGACTTACTGTTTACCACAGAATTCCTCCAGCGGTGTAGAGCCAATACAGTTTTGGGTCAACAAGTGTACTTTCCCATCATTTTTAGCCAGTATGATCCAAAGATTGTTTATAGTGGAAAAGTTCCTAGTGACAATCATTTTGCCTTCACCCAGAAAACAGGTTTCTGGAGGAACTATGGCTTTGGTATTACCTGTATTTACAAAGGTGATCTTCTTCGATCAGGTGGCTTTGACGTCTCCATCCAGGGTTGGGGCCTTGAAGACGTAGACCTGTTTAACAAAGTCATTCAAGCTGGCTTAAAAACTTTCCGAAGCCAAGAAATTGGAGTAGTCCATGTGCATCACCCTGTTCTTTGTGACCCTAATCTTGATCCAAAACAATATAAAATGTGCTTGGGGTCCAAAGCTTCAACTTATGGGTCCACACAACAGCTGGCTGAAATATGGTTTGAAAAAAATGACCCAAGTTTTGGGAAAAGCAGCAATACTAATGGCTCAGTGAGGACAGCCTAATGTCCAGCTATGCTGGAAAAGACTTTTTTTTTAATTATCTAATTTATTTTTGGGAAAATGTGTTTTGATAATTCACTTTTAAAACGCCACACAGGATATATTTTAGAAATCATCGTCGTTTTCTTACAAAGCACTCGTTTTAAGAAGAACAAGGCCGTTGTTTTTTTGTTGTTGTTGTGTTTTTGGTTTTGAACAAAACTGTGATCGATATTTGCCTTCAAACAAAAAAAATTGTTTTAAGAGTTATCCGACCGATCAGCAGAAATCTGACTTGAATTAGAATTTCCTTACGAACAAAAGATTGTTTCCTACCTTCTCCGTTGCTGTCTTCGTTGCTGAGATTCCGTAAATTGGGACCTGAGCGTTCAAGCCGAGCGACAAAACGCCGTATCTAACCGGTTTGTCGTGACTGCTGCCGTGCAGAGATTCTGCTGCTTTCTGTCAAGGAGAGCCCTTCTGGTTTAAATTGTGTTAGAACAAAACAAATCAGTGTGGCGACGAGAAGGGTATTAATCGCGGGAGGGGTTGGGTTTTATTTTTTCCAAATGGCTGATTATTTCCGTTTAAAAATACACTTCCACTTGTTACGGCCAGGCGACTTGAAGGGAGGGAAGAAAGCACAACCTGCTATCCGGGTAGTCCTTGTAGAAATTTGTGTCTTTTCTCTTTGGTCCGCGCGTGGACGTAACGTTGTAGGAATCCGTGGTGGGTTCTGTGTGTTATCCTCAACCGCTGGCTGTCCGGAGCGGAGACGACGTGACCAAGAAACGTCACGAGGGAGGGGAAGAGGATGGGAATCGCGAATCTCTTGCAGCAAAGCCACAGTACACGACGAACAATCGGAGATCCCTAACGAGAACTTCGGAAAATCTTCGGTACCGAGGGTACCGCACCCCATGGCGTGGGTTTTGTTCAGTCGGTTACGTGATGTTAATGGGAACAATTATGACATTTGATTACTAGTTTTGTTTTGGGATTATTTTTTTCTGTATCTGATAGACCGTTAATTTATTTAATATCCATTGGTTTAGGTTCTTGACCTTTCCTTGAATATCTGTTAGTCATTTTAATATTTTATATATATATATATGTGTGTGTAAATATATATATATATATTAGGAATGTATTGCATCTTCTCACTGATAAGGTAGTGTACATCATACTTGCAGTAAATGATCTCCAAAGATTACTTTCTAAAATATTTTTTCATGGATCTTTTTTTTTTTTTCCCCAAATTTCTTTCACGTTTTTGGAATGACTTCAGTAAGCTTAGGAATTTTTTTGATATTCTAAGAGGAACTGGGGACGGGAAGGCCGAGTACAAGGAAAGCGTGATCCCTGTGAATTAACACCTAGCAAGGTAAGAGAAAATACACAAAATAAAGTGCCTTAAAGCCAGAAAGGGAACCCTTTACACTGAGGCTTAGACAGTGAATGGACAGTGTCATCGAAGCAGATGATCTCTTGGAACCTACCTACCTGTAAATATCTCGCTCAGCAGAAATAAAAAAGAAAAACCAGCGAACAATATATTTTTCTATCGTATCCTCCAGCACCATTTCGTCTCATTGCTCTCAGTTCCACTTTGCCTACTCTTTGGGAAGTGGAGACTAGTGAAGGAACGGATCGAAACCGATGCTTAGGTTGTTGCCGTGTTTGAAGGGATCTTACGGAGTAATTGCTATTCCAGTAGAAGAAATAACCATTGTTTACACGTGTATGGAGTATGAACTGCAACTAGTGTAGAGTCAATGTCTTATAATGTTCATCGTTTTTTGGTGACAGTCCCAAGGATGTAGGTACTTGGATGGATTCAGTGCATGGAAAATATGGAAAATCTTCTTTTTTTTTTTTTCCTTTTTTTTTTTTAAATTTGCTTCTAAGATGCAATAAAGATTTTTTATTTGCAATCAGAGCTCCTCATGTCGTCTGCCTCAGTCTATATATGTTTAAAATGCATCCGATGACAAGGCTGAATAACTGAGTAATGTTTTGTGTATCCAAAACACAGTAAAAATCATTCTTACGTGTGTCGAGCACTTTTCTTCAATAGCTCTGCCAGTTTTATCACGCGTGTTTGATATTGGCATGAGGCTTTTTTATGTAAAAATCCAGTCCCAAAGCAAGAATCTTAGGGATTACAGAAGGGTTTCTTCACACTAGGATAGGGAAAAAAAAAAAAAAAAGGCAAGTAGCAATTGTGGCTGCAGAAAAAAGCTTGAAGGATCTGAACCCTAAGAACTGTATCAAAAGATGGAGGAAAAAAAGGCCCTGTACTTACACTGTATTTATTAACATCTGTGATTATGTAGGACTTTTTTTAGCCCATAGCAGCCAGTTAGAGAATGGATGGAAATGGAAAAAGCCGTTTAATGAAAAGCACCCATCTGGTACTGGGGATTTTTTTGCTCCATTGCCGCGGTTCTGATTCAGTTACCAGATCTACCCAAGCAGCATTAAAAGTGAGTTTTACGCCATTAAAAGCAAGTTTTACACCATTAAAAGTGAGTTTTACACTGTTAAAAGCGAGTTTTACACCATTAAAAGCGAGTTTTACACCATTAAAAGCAAGTTTTACACCATTAAAAGCGAGGGTTTTTTACACCCAGCTCGCAGGCAGCTCGTGAGGCCCCACATCTTAATTGACCACACGTTTTATGGACTCACAGCTTAAAAGTGATCCGTTTTAAAGTTCGAATTATAACCATCTATGATAAAGTCTACCCTTATAAACCCCATTTTATACCAAAATTAGCCATATCTGCTGCTGAAAGTTGGAAGGAGCTTGACCAGGTGGAAGCCATCGGCTGGCAAGTGCTAACCCAGCCTCTGACAAAAAGCCCTTCTGGGGCTGGAACATTTCATTTGCAGTTTACTCTGGTGGTTTGGTTCAGAGAGAAGTTTACTTCGTGGCCAGAATCCAGTTGGTGCTGGAAAGCCCAGGAGGGTTTGTCTCCGGTCCGTTAAGGCCATCAAGGTACGAGGAAAATGAGATGATGTCGTCCTGAAATTGAAGAACGTGGTGACCGAGAGTTTTTGCTGAGATTTGCTTTATCTATTGAGATGCTTCACTTCTTCATTAAAATAATTAAAAATGTGAGACGCTTCTTTCCCTTGTTCTTCCAGTGTACGTAACCCGGGTCAGATGCCTTGCTGGTCGCGGACGTGCTCACGGCAATAAAACTCCTGCCCAAGCAGAGCTTTGCAGCCCTTCAACATTTGGGTTTAAACCATTCCACCCTCTCTGGGCACCCATGGGTGCAGGCTCAGTCCCCTGCACCCATGCAGAGAGTGAACTCGCCAGTCAAAGCTCGGGAACACTTGGCCATTCCCATCTTCCCATGGCTCACGGTGAGAGACGCAGGTCACACAGGGGTTTCTCAGCCATGTTGGCTCTGCTCGCCATGCCTTCTGGTTGGCAGTTGGTGGCCCTGGAGACCATTCCCATCTTCCCGTGGCTCACGGTGAGAGACAGGGGTCACACGGGTTTCTCAGCCATGTTGGCTCTGCTCGCCGTGCCTTCTGGTTGGCAGTTGGTGGCCCTGGAAGGCTTTGGGGACCCCGTGTGTCTGCAGAGCTGCCAGAGCGGCCGTCTCCCACCAGTGATGGGTGAGGGACCATGTTTTGATGGTCGCCCATCGCCATCCTCACCTTTCAGGTGTCTTTGCTCCTTGGCCCTGCGTTGCTTGCCAGGGGCTTGATGTCCCCACCCAGGAGCTCCCCAGGCAGACCCTGTCCCAGGGCTTGTCCTCCAGAAGCCTGACAGCTGCTTGCTCAGCTCTGGGGTGGGTTGTCACCTGCAGAAGATGGAGCTGATGAACAGGAGGGGCTGAGCTGAACATCACGGAGAACCTGCAAAGGACCCTAAAGCAGCCTTAGTCCTTCCTCCTGGTGGGGACGTTTGTGGGGTGGAGAGGAGAGTCTGGTTGTCCCGTGGGCTCTGAGGAGGGACGGTCAAAATTCAGGGAGCCCTGAGCTGCCACATCTTGGCCCTTTGTTCATGAATGTTCATCAGTCATGGGGTTAAACCGAATATGGATGTTCAGGGAGAGGCAACAGGTGGGGGGTGGATTTATTATACTGGTTTCTAAAAGCGTTTCCTTCCCAGCAGCTTGTTTCTTCACTCAAGGGTCAATGATGGCGACAAGAGGCCACGGACACGGGGAAAGTGTGGGTGTGGGAAAGGCGACGTGGTACTGCCGGCCACTGCCGTGCTCGGCACGACTGGTTACGGGTTATTTAGTGATGACTTTGCAGAGTCACAGCCCGTGGAAGGGTTTCAAGTTTCGGTCCTTCAGGCACAATAATGGGGTTTTATTGCCCCGAAAAAGCAGCGAGCAGCTCCAGGCTCCACACAGCTTCCCTGGACCTGCCTCCGCGGAGCCTTTCAGCAGAATCAGCAAGAAAGTCCTGCTGACCCTAAATCTGCTCAGGCCTGAGGTTTTGTTGAAGCTCTGACTTTACATTGCAAATTATTCGCCTGAGTCGTTTCGCATGAATACTTGCTAAAAATACTCCTCCTGCAGAGCAGCCTCACTCGGGAGCTTTTTGGAAAGAAAAATCTTTCAGAGGTGTTAGATAGAAGTGAAGAGCAGGTTAGTGCCATGCTGGGGGCAGATGCTTCCAGGTCCCACCAGATTCCTCCTCCTCTGGTCTGGGACGTGGTGGTTCCAGAGCCGGTGGGATGCTGCCCACATTGGGACCTATTTTAAATGGATGGATTTGTACCCAGATCTGCCAGTCTGTCAATGGGAGTTATTGCGCTGACTGGAGTAAATTCAGGGGGTTTTTTGGTGCCAGCTGGAGCTGGAAGGCCGTCTCCTCCATGGGGCATGGACAGCCTTGGAGACTTGTAGACTCTCTGGCCAGCGCATGTTGAGCTGCAGTGCAGCCGCATCCCACGAGGTTTCCTTCCCCGACTCTTTTACGGGATTTCACCTGGCTGCTTCTGCCAGAACAGCTTTTATTCCTCACGTCCAAACCGCTGCTGACACTTTCCCAGGTGCAAGAAACCCGTCTGCCTCCTTTCCGAGCTCCAAACCTCATCTCCTCCAGCCCAGGAATCTCTACCGCTTTCTAAATCACGTTTATGAGCAGGGTGAAAAAAA